TCTCCCGACACTGGCACCGAAGCTCACGCTCTCAACGAGGCTATCCTCTCCCATGACGCCGAGAGCATTCGCATGTTGCTTCTGTACGGCGTGGACCCCAATGCCACCGACAAGCATGGTGTGAGTCCACTTGTTGCAGCGGCAGAGAAGTCATACCTGGATGCTGCCATTGCGCTTGTCAAGTACGGCGCAGATCCCAACATGTCTGTCGGTCCTGAAATGGACTCGCCAGTTTCCATTGCTGCTGTCGCCAACAATGTCAGCTTCACACATCTGCTCCTGATGTACGGCGGAAAAGCAAAGCAATCGCTGTCAAACGGCGACACCCTTCTCATTGGAGCCATCAATAAGAAGACTCCCAAGACATTGATCGACCTGCTTCTCAACTACGGGGCGGACGCCAACGAGAAGAGCAGAGAAGGTAAAAGCGCTCTTTTCCAAGCAATTACCAGCGGCAGGGCCGACATCGTCACGTCCCTCATCGAGCACGGCGCCAACCCTAATAACCCTGGGCCCAAGCACATGCTCTGGCCGGCTATCCATGAACCTGCCTGCCTGCAGGTGCTCCTCGCCAACAAGGCAGACTACAAGAAGGCCCCTGGTCTCATGGAGCTCGCCACGAGTGTCAACAGCATGGAGGTCATCAAGATCCTCCTCAAGGCGGGCGTCGACCCCAACGCCAAAAAGGACGGCGTCTACACCCCCCTGTGTACATCGATCCGCGACAACCGCAAAGACATCTTCGACCTCCTCCTACGAAGCGGTGCTGATCCCAACGCTCCCGCCAGCGAATACCCATGTTTCAAGTGCGTCACTCACCACCGAGAGCACTTTCTCCCTGCTCTCGTCGCCGCCGGCGGCAACCTAAACTCCCCCAAGGGCATCCTCGAGACGGCCGTGACATCCAAGAATGGCCCGGCCCTGAAATGGCTCCTCGACCAGGGCGTTGATCCCAACGACAAGACGCCCAAGGGCCACACAGCGCTCACCAGCGCCATCCGCGACAACCACGTCGGCTTCGTGGACACGCTCCTCGCGCGCGGCGCAAACCCCAACATCCGAGGCGAAGACTGGCCTGTGTGCATGGCCGTTCACAACCCCGACCTGCTATCCCGCGTGCTGGCCGTGCTGGCCGAGCCCCGCGCCTTCAGGGGCGTCCTCGAGCGAGCCGTCTGCGCCAACCAGCTCGAGTCGGTCAAGCTCCTCCTCGCCGCGGGCGTGTCGGTCGAGGACAAGAACGTCGGCGTCTTCTCGCCCCTGACGTCGTCCATCCGCGAGCTCCACAAGGACATCTTCGTCTTCCTCATCAACGAGGGCGGCGCCGACGTCAACGCCCCCGGCGAGCACCTGCCCATCGTCAAGGCCCTGCGCCGCTGCGCCACCGAGGCCCCCGAGGTCATCGACATGCTGCTCGAAAAGGGCGCCGACCCGAACAAGATGTACAGAGGCTGGAACGGCATCATGCAGGCCCTGGAGAACGGCGACGCAGACATGCTCAAGAAGCTGGCGCAGAAGTCGGGCGTCGACCTCGACGTCCGGGACGAGATGGGCAGAACCGTCACCGAGATTGCCATTTCGAGACGGTGGGAGGAGGGCGTCGACATTCTGCTCGCACACGCCAAGTAGGCCTTGCCACGAATTGTTTTGGTTTCCCTTCTTTTTTTCTTGTGTCGCAATTGTTTGGATAGGCGGGCTAGTAGGCTCCCACTTTTTGCACTGATACCACGGGTGTACGATATACATAATATTACTACGGGAGGCAACTTCAGCCCCCTCTGGGTCGCTACGGAATATAATTTGACATCATTGATCAGACATGTTGCTAAGGCGGTGCACAATGAGGCACTGTGGCTTGTAGACCGAGCACATTAATATACTCCTTCGTTGACGTTCTGGCACAGCAATCAATCGTGATGATTCCATAAAGACGTTTATCTGGAAGAAAATATGTCCACAGCGGCGCTTTACTGCGACGCGAGAAATTCTCGCGACAGACATGTCGATCGACACTGCCGAGTATGTATGTACCTTGGAATAAGCCACGAGACGTTGCGGCGCGGATTCAACAGCGTCTCATTGAGGCTGGTGTTTCACTTGATATCATCCATGCCTTTTAGTAGAACCCCTCGTCGTCGTCGTCTTCTTCTTTTGCAACTTGATCAGCATCTACTTTTGCGATACCGCAACTATTCCCTGACGTCGCATTCAACAGTCGCCCGGGCACAACTCTGCGTCGTGAATACATACTCGACATTGGTTGACGCGTTTGATCGACGCGGAATTATATTCGTTGGTGCGTCTCGACCCCGCCCTCGTGTCGGGGGACACCTGGGATGGGATGGGACGCTGAACCCTAACCCTTGGAACCGGGCATCGTGGGATGCACAACCCAGCAAGCTTGCATGTGTTGGTGTGTTGTTTCGGGCCAACAAAACGAAATGCGAAAATAACGGATGAAGCAGTCCGCACTGGGCGATCGGCAGGAACCCTTGCAGAGCAAGACCCGACTAATCTGCCGTTTGGCCAAAAAAGCAACAAAAAGTTTATGCTTGTTACAGATTTATTAGGTCTCTGGTACCCGAGTCATTCTTACTTTAGTCACATGTACGTACTGTACTACTGTGCGTTGTCATGATTAGCGAGCCCGTAGCTGGGCACGTGGTTTCAATGTTTCCAGATTACTTGCATCCAACACCCGTCGCTGGGATTGTATGTAATGCAAGTTGTGGGGTAACATTGGGGCTCTCTTCGCTGCTACCTTTTGCATATAACTCGAAAGAAAGTAGCGCCTTGCTCGGTTTATGGTTTCAGGCTGCTTCTTATTAACATCGGATTATAGTCGCCCACCATGCTTCCACATCACAAAAATACTCGCCAAGATACTCGGCAAAGCCAAATGACATGTTGGGCGGACGGACATGTGTCGTCAGGAGTGTACACTGCATGCAGCTCTGTTTAGGACTAAAAATACTCATGTCCATGTGCAGACTTGCTTCGATGCTGGCCGAGCTACCCGAGTACGGAGGCAGGAGGCAGGAGGCAGCTGAGAGGGTGCTTGTGCCACCCATCTTGCGCAGAGAGCTGGCCCGAGAATGGCGGTGATTCGTTTGAGTTTACTCGGCAGGCCCCGTGTCCTTGGGAACACAACCACAGCAGCAGTTGGCTGGATGCCATTGCGTCACTCCAATCACTACGACTGTCGCCGTGGTTGTTTCAAGTTCTGTGGTGTGGGGTTTGACACTGGCGCGTTGACATTCAATGTTCGGATTGATCATCGAGTAAAGCCTCCGGCCGTTGATCTTTTCAGGCCACGCTCCTCGTGGATCTCGTCGAGACCCAAAACCCAATCACGACGCTCGCATCAGCGCCAGTTTTGGGATGCGCAGGCTCTCCACCTGACATGCAGACATGAGCGCTAAGACGCAAAGCAAAGACTGAGACAGGAACGCTGCCGCGCTTAGGAATCCAGATTGTCTCGGAGTTTGCAGACCTGGCTTTGCGTGTGGTTGCTGGATGAAGGGAAGGGTGGCCAAAGTGCGGCGTAGCATGCTGTTACCGGGTCCTCGTATTAATTCATGGCTGTCAAAGCGATCATGCCAGGATTGGCCCTTTAGGCTTGCCGTCATGGGCATCGATATTTCCAGTTGTCGAGGCTGCGAGACGACGGCCTTTTCGTTTCACAGGGGTGGCTTGTCCATGGCCCCTGACTACTGCAGCCACGTATGTATCCAAGCACATGGCTGTGCAAGACCCCTAGTTCTTGCTCGGCCACATTGATCCTCGGGATGGGAAAGTGAAAATCATTCGTTTTGCACCGAGTGCTACTCTGCACGTACTGAATATTACCAAGTAGATATGCCAGCTGTCAGGTTCGCCGCCAGCATGCCTGGGGAATGGAGGTTGTCTGGTTGGTCCAAAGACAAGCAAAGGGAATGAATGGCTGGAGACTTCAAGGCATGCGCAAGCCCTCCGCCGGTATGCTCATTGGCCCTGCAGCCGCATTGACCTGACACTCTTGTCGAACAAAGGCTTTGGGTTTTCTTCTCCCCTCATTGCGCCTGCGTGCGTCATTTCGACTTTTTCTGTCTGCTTGGTCGTCATGGTCATAATTTCCGTCAGGAGGCCCCCATGTAAGACCTCCATGGATTTCCCCGACAACCCCGCTGCTATTCGTGGTAGTTTCTGTTTGGGATGCCCTGTCATATGGCTGTCATTTGGCTGTCTGTCGCAGAGAAGGGCCAGGGATCATGACGGATGAGTTGATGGAATGAACTGGGCCCACTATGTTTGCCTTCATATCAAACCTTTTGCTCCTTCCACAACTGTTAGTGGTGTGCGTGACTGCTCCTGAAAAGTACTGCCAATTCCCGGCTCACAATCAATCCGTACGTTGTGTATTGCACAATTTGCCTGGTGTCCTCAATGCGTGGCTTCGCTCTTCATGTCGCCCCGTGCCGCAACGAGCTGTGCCGTACAGTGGGAGTCGAAGAGTATTGAACCAGATCAGGTACCTGGCTATCGCGCTTTATATTAGTATATGTATTACTCCGTACAGTAGCGTGTATACCTCTTGGTGGGTAAATATTGACATTCTTTGCCCGTCAATGCTAAATGGCTTGATACCTGTGCCTGTGCCTGTGCCTGTGCCCGTGCTTGTGCCTGTGCTTGTGCCTGTGCTTGCGCTTATGCTTGGCCTTGGCACTTGCACTGCATCAACCTGCATCCATCTTGCCAGACAGACCCGTCAGGTTCGCTTAGCCGCTCCCCTCCTTCCTTCTCCCAAGCAAGTGTCACATCATCAAATCTCATCCTCCTTCCTTTGTCGCTCTCTGACCCTCACTTTCCTTAAATTCATCATAAACGACCAAGACTTTAGTGACAAGTCTTCGACGTCACGTCATTCATTTACGCCAACATCTTGTGCGCGTTGGGTTTTCATAGTATCCTGATCACACGATCGACACAACGTTGGGTCGCACAGTCGACTCAGAAGCGATACCATGGGTCGACTTTTACCGCTTTTCCTGGGTGTCTTCAGCACGCTACATATTCTCGGGGTTTCTGCGCAAACAGCCCCAGCATGTGTTGTGAGTCCGACAATTTGTCATCTCCAGTCGCTCTTATTACACTTGTCTTTTGATTTGAACGAGACATTCAAGGATCCCTTACTCACTATAGCTCCTAGGAAACCTGCACGAATGAGGTCCGAAATAAATTCGCAGATTTAAAGTGCTCGGATGCCAATGCTGCACCTTGCTTCTGCACGAACCCAACGTTTTCTGCCGCCATTCTCGAGTGCAGCAAGCCGCAATGTCAAGCAACCGCCGACAACGTCTTCACTTATCTCACGTCGCATTTCTGTGTCGGTAAGTGGTACCCCAACTCAGAGCTCCACGACGGAGAATTTTCATACGGGAGACTAAATATGTATAGGCCAGCCACTCCCTAAGCCTGATAATACAGCTGCTCCGAGCTCCGAGGCCTCGCAAACGCCAACTCCATCAGCCCATGCTACCACCAGCACATCGGCTGTGCCCGAGCCCTCGTCTTCTGCAATCTCCTCTTCTACAACTGCTACCCCAGCCGCAACGACTTCGATGAGCACCGAGTCGACCCCCACTTCTGCTACCGTCGAAACAACTGGCACACCTACAAAATCGTCCTCGCCGTCTTCAACCTCAGACAGTGCTGCGAGTGCTACTTCCTCCAGCGCTGCTACAGAGGGCTCTTCATCCAAAGGTCTATCCCAAGCGGCAATTGCTGGAATTGGTGTCGGCATAGGTGCTGCTGTCATTGCTATTGCCGGCATTGTTATTTGCATGCTGCTCAAGGCCCGAAGACGCAAGCCAGGTCGCAATGGCCACAACAGGGATATTTCGAAGCCACTTCCTGGACCTGACAGGATGTATGCTCAGCGCAACACCAGCTTTAGACGCAACCGGGACCACTCTATGGAAAAGTTCGGCAATGATCTTGAAATGACCTCCCACCGTTATGAAGACATGGTGCCCCGGACCCAGCCTAGGACCTTGGTGTAAAGATATATGAGTAGGTGAATAGTACCGGGGTGGCCTCGAATGTTAGAGATGAGAGCACCATTGAGTTTGTTCTGCCTCCGGAGGAAGCTGTGTGCTGCGCTCTCCATCCATGGAATGACTCTCCTTTCAATGGGTTGGAATTGCAACTATATATCGGCCGCAGCATATTCTTCTGACCAGCCATCCGGTGTGGGTGTAGTATAATATTATTAAAATCACGGATTGATGAAGCAGAACCAAGGTCTTGTCTATTGACATGTTCCATACATTCATATGTATGCCCGATGCAGTAGGACCCACTGGGCGTGGCAAAGCAGAAGCAGGCTTAGTTTTTGCCCCGAACAAAAAGCGCTTTATTTTCCGTTTGTCTATCAGAAGTTAGTTCTCCTAAGGTGGCCTGTTGGAGTTGGGCGTTTAATTCCAGTCCAATCCAACACGATTACATCGCTACCTAGGTATTCAATGTACATATGGTGTTACAAAATTGTGTCTGTGAAAGGACACATCTGGTGTGAGGTTTCGAAGTTGTTGAGTATGGTCTTGCGCCTTTACCATGAGTAGTAGGGTCGCTGTCCGTGGATACGGCGGTTGGGCAGGTGAACCCAGGGTCCCTTGGCAGCCTTCTTAGCCTCTCGTTCCTCATGCTCTCGTATTCTCGTCTTTTCCTCCTTCAACAGAACTGTGAAGCCTGTAAACGACCAAACCATTAGTGAACGACCGACAAGCGGGTGAGGAGGAGAGTCAAGACCAACTTGTACTAGGGTGTTGAATAACGCCCATTCTCCCACGGCCCTTGTAATCAATCTCCTTGCCTCGCCACGGTCCACGCCCAACCCAAGACTGCGCGACATACATGCGCGTCGGGTCCGTCACCTCAACCCATTTGCCCTCCCTCGTGAATATCTTCCTGGGCTTGTCGAGCACCTCCCCGTTGACCTTGCCCAGACCCATGCCCCTCTGCGCAATGGCCAAGTCCCTGGCCTCCTCCAGGTAATACTTGACCTCGGCGGCCATCTTCTTCTTGGACCACTGCATTTGCGAAATCGCCTCGTCGACGGGCTTGCCGGCAATCTGTCTCGACAGCATGACCAGCTTCTTGACGCTCGTCGGCATGAAGTGGCTCCTGTGCAGGAGCTGCCGCTCCGTCGCCTTGATCCGGTCCTCCTTGGAGACGGCGCCGTTGCTGCGCACCATCTGGATTACTTTTCTGCGCTGCCAGCGCATTCTGCTCCTGGGGTCGGGGTCCGTCACCATGGCCATGTTTTCGCGGGTCTTTTGCTCCAGCTGCTGTTCCTGCTGTTCCTTCTGGGCGGCCGCCTCCCGAGCAGACGAGGGCCCGGCGGCGTCGATTTCCTCCTGGAAGATGTTGTCCGACACGGAGCCGTGCATGTTTCGCTCGAGAAAGGCAGCCCGCTTCTTGGGGTCGTCGAGCTCCGCGGTGGCGTCTTGGGCCGCCTTGGACGAGGGGGAGTCCTTTGCGCCGGGCCGGCCCCAGCCCTTGAAGATGTTGACGGACCATTTGGTGCGCATCTGCGTGGTGCTTATGCCGCCGCGGGCGCTGGGGAGCGAGGGCCGGACTGGACAAGGGGCGCCTATGGCCGACGGGAGAACTGTCAGCGAGAGCGTGAAAGACGAGGATTCGGGAAAGAGGGTTGCGGGTTGAATTACCTGGGAGTGCTAGCCGGCGGCTAGCGAGGCGTAAACTCATGGCCGCAACGTGTTGCGAGCAGCAGCCTTGATCCTACCGCCCGTGCAAGCTTGCAACCTTTGGTCGCTGATGAAGTGAACTTGTTTGTCTTGGGAAACCAATTGAGTAGCTTTTCGCCTTGGCCCGGACTTCACCCGCTGGGTTTGGCGGGACAGAGCTTGCACGTGACTGTCCTAGCGGGATTAACCATCAGGCCATGCTTTCCTCGGTCCACCCAACGTTGTCCGCTGAACGATCCTTTTAATCCTCGACGTCGTCAATCAACACCTCGCATCACTCGTCAAACCCGTTGTCGTCTGCTTCGGAAAGCAAATTTATTCACAATGCCTGCTGCTCCCATTACCGGTGTACGTTTTTCGCGACTCAATGGCTCGGAATGGGGCGGAAGAGGAGGGCCGTGGAGAGCTTGGAAATTGTGGCATGCTGACTGGTTGGAATAGATTTTGCGACGACGCCTGATTCTTGACCTTGGAGTCGGTCTGGGTACGTTTGATTTCTCTTCGGGTGATTGGAAAGCTTGGTAGCGCTTCTTCATTTCTTCATGGAGGATTTCTTTTGTGGCCGTCGGAACGTTGGGCGGAGAGGGAGTCATAGGATTGTGTGCTAACGCATCTCAGGCGCCGGCTTCGCCATGGCCAACCTCTTCTGGTGAGACGAACCGAAACGGATCCAAGGCAACATTTGGAGCGGGCTTTGTTGTTCTAACGGAGGATAGGTACGGCTACCACATGCCCCGAACCAATGCCCGCGATGCCTTCTACATCAAGCTGGAGGCTGAGCGTGCCGAGAACAAGCAGTAAGGAATGCTGCGGGGGCGAATCTGTGCTAGGAGAAGTGTACTCGGGGTGCGAAGAAAAGTAGAGAGTGTGGATGGCGGGCGGATATCCATTTTGTTTCACTGGCGTCGCTGCCGCAAAGCATAGAACGGGTGTGGGTAGAGCTTGGCTAGCTCGCTGGGCTGTAGTGTACAATAGACCAGGAACCCGGTGGTTGATGCTTCAATATTCCTTTTGTGAACTTGGACATGTGGCCATGTGATCTACTGCGACGGATGGCGCCACTTGGAATCAGGCTTGGTGATGTTTTTGATGGTCTCTGCGGCAGTTCCTGCTTGCGTTCCATCCCCTCTCTTCGAGGCACGTTATACTAGGAGGAATTACAATTGCGGCAGATGAACGCTCACCGCTGGAGCTGCTTCCATTGACAGCCCTGGCTGTTCATATGCACAGAGGAGTAGTATCGCACCTGTGAGACTTGACCGGTCTTCTGCAGCCAAGACCTGAACATGTATATCGTACAAACACTATGCAATAGCCTGCAAGACATAATTTACATGCACACCCAAATAAAATCATAGTACAGGGCATAATAAATGTCGCCCAGCAATCAGTTCCACACAGCGGCCCGCCAAAGCCGCCATCATGACAATTCACCTCGCCACATCATCATGCCAACTCCCCGACCACTGAAACGGCCTCTTCTTCCCTTCCCCATCGCCATCCTTCTGTTCTAGTTGCGCGTTCCGGCCTTCCCATGCCGTCGTTTCGACCATAAAACTCCCCTTCCTATCCGCGCACCTAGCCGCTTTGTCAGCACCCACCAGGCAGCACAAACTCGAACGCAAGCCGAGAGAAACCAAAAGCACACACAACACACACACGTGCACACGTACCTCCGAAAAAGCCTGTCCACTGGGAAACACTGCACCGCGCTCTCTCGCGAAAGCGGTCTCTGCACCTCGCATTTATACTGTAGCATCTGGAGCAATTCACAAGCCGAAAGGTCGATCTTGGAGTTTGCGCCGGGAGCCGGTTTGCGCCGGCGGCCGTGGACATCCAGCTGGATGCGGGCGGGCAGCTCGGACGCCGGGAAGGAGTGGCACGGCGGAGTCATTACCGAAACACCGAAACACTGACAGAGCCGCCGGGCAGTCAGGGCCGTGGGCTGCGGTTGTGATGGACGAGGCGATTGGGGCGAGGGTTTTGGCGGGGATTGAAGAAGCGAGTCTGGAAGAGGTGAGTTGTGGCCGCAGCGCGTGGTGGTGGACATGGATGGACGGGGCCCGATGAGCATCACCACCACTCTTGACGTCTCTTCATCCTCCCCCTTTCCGTTCTCGCATCCCGCTCCTGTTTTCACCGTCTTTTCATGATCCGCGGCCGAGGGATGAGATTCTGCTTCATTTCCATCCTGCTGCCGTGTATGGCCCCGGTCCAGCACTGGCAAACCGGCTAACACGCCTTGGACGCAATTGACAGATTCTCAAGGCCGTCCGCGGCAAACCTACACCCGCGAGTGCCGCCAAGCAGACGCATATCCCGGCCCTTGATGCCCTTGCGGCGACGAGCCTCCGCCGCACGCAGTCGCGCACCATCTCCCTGTGCGGGCGTGCCCTGCCGCTGCTCTACGAGGTGATAGCAACGCTCGTGTCTGCGCCGCACTTTTACACGCTCCTCGTGCTGGACTTGGACGCCCGCTTCGACCCTACCTGTCTGGAGACGGAGCCCTCGAACCTCGAGCACGTGTATGTCCAGCGGCCCGCGCAGAGTTCGCCCGAACACCTGCGCGGCCTGGTCGCCGCGGCAGAGGCCTTTATGCTGTATGACGACGCTGCGAGGCTGAGCAGGGGACGGGAGTGGTGGGGGACGGTGGTGATGGGCGGCCTGGCGGCGGGCGACTTGACGGCCGGGTGGAAGGGGTGGGCGAGGGTCGATAGGGCCGCCGTCATGGGGTTTGCCTTGGGCACGAGTGCGGAGGAGGCTTTGGCGCAGAGGGCGACGAGGGAGAGGGCGGTTGAGGGGGCAGGATGGGCTGTGAGCTCGGCGTTTGGAGGGTTTGGCTTTGGCGGCAAGGACGACATGGACGTTTGACGGCGTCGAAGGGATGGCGTTTAGGGGAATGTCCCTTCTCATCACACGTTGCGCTTGAACACGGGCAGGTATTGCAAAGCCATTACTTGCATGTGTGTACGCACGTCAGATATCGGGCTATATACCCATCGTTTCCGCAGCAGAACAACAGACTCTGAGTCCGCTACTACAACAACCACGTCCCCCCTGCCGTCCGCCTCGACGACCTCGGCGCTTGGTTTCCCTTGGAGCGTGACGCCCGGCCGCGTCGCACCGCCCATGCAGTTTTGCACTGAGACGAGGGGAACCCGATGTACTCATCGAGAGCGAGATGTAGGATGAAACAGGCCCGGCGTGACTTGTTGGGCGGCTAGAGATGCGAACGGCAGCAGTGCCGTGGCGGCGTATCGTGCCGTGGATGCAATAGAGTATCAACTGATTGAAGCAGCCTCCGGCGTCTTGACCAGACGAATTTCGAAAACTCAAGATTGTAATGGCGAAGTTGCGATGTCTCAACGGGCCATTCTGTTCTTGTACTCACATCTCGTCCTACCGGTCTTGCACTCTCTATCCGTGTGTTCCTGTCGATGCAATGCGCGGCTTACATGGCCCTCCCAGATTGATCTGCACATGAGACAGCTGATGTCGTGCAACGTGCGGCTTGGGTCGGATTTTCCCGTTAATACGGAGTAGTCGCGGGGCATTGGTGTCGGTCGGCGACTTTTACCCTGGATCGGACAAGCCGGCCACAATGGAATACAATGGGAGGCAAAACGAACTCATTAGGTACTATGTAGGTATTTAGGTACTTGGCCATCGCACCCTGTGCTATAATATACTACATAATATTAGTATGTCCTTATAAATAGGCAAGTATATCAGACCATGGCTGTATATATGAGATTTGATTGATACTTGGCAACTGAGGCGACCGCCGCCTTACTTCCGTCGGCTTTTGGCAAGCGGACGTCCGTCATGCCTGGTCAGGGGGTGGGTGAATCGCCGACACGGTGATGGCACATCATGGCTAAAGCCAAGGTTGAGACCAAGTGTGTAAATGCTATTATGAATTCAATCGCTATTTAAAATGCCAAATGCTCATGATTGGGGTAAAATCTCTCGTTGACTCGAGTGCCGCGATACACTTTCAGCGTCCAAGTGCGGAAAACGCCCGCTTTCCCTGCTATTTCGCCCATCGCCCTCTCGCGTCTCCGTCACCATTACATCCTTGGTTACCAATATGCCACGCGCGGTCGGTGTGCGCTTCCGTTGCATCTCGTAGGATTCGTTGCTGCCGCCAATGGTGTCGGGATGTATTGGTCCATTGCCGTTTCTTCGCTGTTCCTGTCGCTCCCTCTGGCGATCCAATTCTCGCTTATCCCGTCTGCGCTTATTCCACAGGCCATACAAGGTGGGTGCATTTACGACGACGGTAGCTGTTAGCAATTCTGCGCTGGCCCAGGTGGTACGGTTTCCCTGGCTCCCGATATTGGCATAGTTGATGCGCAGACGCACGATGGTGACGACGATGATGAATATGCCGAGTGTGAAAAGGGGATAGAGCTGTGCCTTTCTCCTCCATGGCGCCCTCAAAGATGCGACGACAGGTATTGGTAGGACGAGCAGCATGAAGTCGGTGATGATGTTGATAATGCCAAGAGCGAGGAGTTGAATGGGTGCTTTGGCGCAAGGACCTGTCACGCACACATCCAGTTAGCTCATGGGTACGCCCAAAAAACAAAATACGATATTGCAGAATCACAGGCCGAGTTGGGATGCTATTTCATCGTACCAGCATCTGGCACAACCTGCCAGTATAATCGAAACGGTCTACATTCGGTAAAGGTGATGACTTCGACCGCAACATAGGACACGCAAAAGACGACGAGGTATCCCCGTATAATAATCTTTTCATATGCAAGATCGAGAATGAGTCGGCGATAAAGGTCTAGAAGCACGAGCTTCTGTAGCCAGAGACTTTTCATGTGAGGCGTCAGTATATTCTGCCTTGTTCAATCTTGGGCCAAGGTAGCTTCAAGTGGGCAACCTACTATGAAATGTAGACGAAGCGGCCGGCGATTGACAACTTGCTTCCTATCTCACGCTGGTAGATTTCGGTTGCGGTGAAGTCGTGGTTTAATCGGTATCTCATGGACATGCTGTTCGTTCCCCAAACGAGAACGACGTGAATGACAGCCAGTCTTATGAAGGCGCAAGCAATGGCACCCGCGGTGAAGTAGTCCCCTAAAACGAAGGACTGCTTTGCCACTTTCCTCCAGGCTAATCGTAGCGTCATGATGAGGATTGCTACGCAGCTAAACACCCAGTGGATGATGAGGGCGGTGTTTCTGGGCACTCGGTTCCTCATCACCTCCATCATCATCGCTATTATCGACGCCCTTGTCCGGCCATTGCAGCTTCTCCAAACTAAGATGACGACAGGCTGCAAGTAGCAACTCGAAGCTGTTTATCGCCGAAATTCCAATTACAACAAACGACCCAAGCTATTCGGATGCTTGGCGCAGACTCGCAAACACCGAATGGCAGTGGCAAGTTGATCGAATGTTGAACCCAGAAAAGAAAAGAAAAAACGAACCAACAGAGGGCGAGAGAGCTGTAATAGAGGTGAATCCTTGGCCAATTCCTGTTCCTGTAGGATAAAGAATGGAAATACAACCCAATCTACTCTGTATGTAGCAATCCAATTGTGGTTCGTGGTCAATGTTTGACTTGAGGTCCAAGTAAAAAAGAATGGCTGCTAATATTAAGTAGACCTTTGCAAAATTGAACACGCCCTTGTCATGTTGTCAGCCCTGCAAAGGCAAATACGCAGTACTCCATACTACCGCGCCAAGGCCAATTTGTGGCCGTTGTCGATGCGAACGGGGGTGTTGGCTTGGGTGCTTCGCCTGCCCTGACCTGGTTGACCTGGTCATGATTCCAGTCCCTGGAGCCCGAGACCGCGGACATCGCCGTACGAGGTCCACCCCCTATCCGCTCGAATACTCGCTAAAGCTTTCGCATCATCAATGATGGGCCAAGCGCTCTCTTCAGCGGAGATATGGCATACAGGACTGTCGAAGCATGAGGCCGGCAAATGAAGGCGGTGGATCTTGAGAAGCGGTTTTTCTGGTGTGGTGCCTGCCTGCACACGTCAACTCGGAACACTGGCAACTGGATACGATAGCCGGGAAGGAGCCGCCGAACGCCTCCTGCAGGCTGCGGTATTAGAGCGGTGGCCTACGCCCCGGGAAGGAGCGAGTCATTGCATCTCCTGCCTGCCCGTCGTGCAGCAGCAGATGGACATTTCCGCGGACGGATCAACTGGTAGTCCTGACCATCAACCACCCTCTCAAGACTCAATTTCCTACCCATCACTGGGGTAGAGTAGTATTGATGTTGGTGGCTCCGGATATTATATATCGGCGACAGGAACAGTCCACGAACCATACGAGTGATGCCATCCCACTTGACTCACCTCCTAGCCCGCCGCTGGTCACGACGAAGCAGAGAGCCAACATTGAGCCCGTGGCCGTGATGGGTACAAAATTTGGACACCGCGACTACTGCCAATTGTCAAGACTGCGCATGGTTGTCTTCAACGTCCCATGTTCGCAGCGGCTGTCAGACCACCGGTACCACAATAAGCTCGACGCCGTGCAACGCTCCACACGTGGCATCGGGTCACGGACGGGTTCCTCTTTGCAGATCATAGTACGAGTTCCTTGAAATGCGTTTGCCCAAGCTGTTCGCCTCCGTTGCCCCGCTCTTTTGCTGGCGGGCTGGCTTCGCTGGTCACTGACGCTGATGTCTCGAGTTCCTCTCATGGCGGGGAAGTGCTGTCCATTCGCAATGACTTCTACATTGGTGGTATGCCGACGATGGAAAAGGATCTTCCGCGACCAGATGTCAACATTTACGTTGAGCAGCTGAAACCCGTCAACGGCACCACTCAAAAGACCCCTATTGTCACCATTCACGGCCAAGCACCAACAGGTACCGTCGAGTATGTACAGCCTTTTTTTCTTGCTCAACAGCTTCTCAAATACAGTGGCAGTGCACCCCACATAAAAAACGCGGCTTGTCACACCATGATGGGCTCCGACTCTCCGAGCATGATTTAGCCTTTTGAGATATCCATCTTTGCTTCCGCAGTATTTCAAGATGGGTGCATCATATTTCTCCCAACTTACATCATCTACTATGCCGCTATTTCTGCATGACTCTACTGAACAGGCATGCTTTCAGGATCCTTAACAAACTGTTCTATCTTTCTGAGGCCCACGAGATCACCTTCAATCGTGTCTGCCAGCTCCTTGGGCACCCAGCCTTCAGTATGTCCACCGCCAAAGTCCACAAGCCATGTATCCATGTTCCTGTCAACCAGTACATTCGCCGGCTTGGCATCGCCCCAAGATATCCCCGCGGAGTGTAACTGGCAAAGAGTATCTCGGATCTGTCCTATCCACCGATCTTTTAGGGTGCCCGGCGTTTCTGGCCGTACTGCACAGGAGAGCGTCGTGCCACCACAGTCCACATTGGTGAGTAGTAGACCATATACCAGCCCGTTTCCGTCCTTGACGAGTCCCAGCAAGCGTGAGATGCGAAGCGATGCATCGACTGATGCGTTTCGGATGGCCTGGTACTTTGTAACCTCCTGTCTGAGGCTCCAATTATCACCCAGGTGCATCATCTTCAGAAAGGCCTTGGTGCCATCTGGCAACAGAACCCTCCTTGGTACATGAGTCGGAACTCTATTCCGGGTTTCTTGGTCAATCCAAACCTCGGACGGGAGATAGTCAGGCCACTGTTCATAGTACTCTTCGCATAATGGAGTGCCATACCTTGATCCGCTATTTCGGCCAAGAGTCATGGGCTTTGCAACCAGCTTCTCGTGGATGCCGCAAATCTTGTAATGGTGCGTTTCTGGGGTAAGGAAATTTTGCACAGATCGCCTGCACGGGTTGGGCGAAGACTTCATTCCATGAAATATCGGAAAAAGAGGCTCGGCGGCCCAATCATACAAGTCATCAACAGTATTCCCATCAAGTTCAACATCCTCAGCAACCCGCAAAAAGAAGAGATATCTTTGAAGAAGTTGAGGGGATGCATCAAAGTTGCTCCTGGATAATTGGAGGACGAAGCGCACATCGTTGCACATGATGACAAGCTGGGAGTCGGTGTTGCGGCATGAAAATGTAAAGTTGACGACTTCCCAAGGCAGGAACGCGTCGTCACCCGCTCGGCTCAAAGAATCGTTTGCCATGTTGATAAATGGTGGCAGATTGCGCGGCAGATGGTGCAAATGGCAACTTATGTAGCCACATGTGCACATGCTATGGCCTCAGGCTGCTCTCCACACCGGAAACGGCTCCATGGGCGACGTCGTCTTTGACACCTTGTACAGCTCCAACGTCCCGTTCATCAACAACGTCACCTACCAGTTATCAACGGTACAAGCCGCAGGAGCTGCTCTCGACAAGACTGGCAAGCCCTTGGTGCTCATGGGCCACAGCCAGGCCGGCATTCCCCCCCATCGTCAATGCCGATGCGAGACTCAAACTCACAAAGTCGCTCACTCGTACTCCTTGTCCCGTCCGAGTCGGGCTACTACGGCGTCTACGACTACTGCACAGCAGAGAATCTGAAACAAGCAGGCTGCTCCAAAACGAAACATCTAGAGCTTGGCAAGGCCGGTATCCATGGCCGCAGTCACATGTTTCTCATGGAAAATAACAGCAAGCAAATCCAGCGATCGTCAAGGTCTGCATCGTCAAGACGCGACACGAATCGGACAGCTACAGTGGAAGGCCAAGACGTCTTGAACTAGGCCAGGTACCGGACTATCGTGCTCTATATGACATCAATTGATACCATACTACATTATACTATGAATAGGCAAGTTTGGCGCATATATGCCCGTTCATAGACAACCATCATGGCATATTCTACACAAGCACATGTCTTCTCTTCCAACACCGGGCCCTGTTCCGTCAAGTCTGGCAAACGAGTGCCGTAGCATTCTTTCAGCGTCTGGTGTCGGCATTGTTTCACGGCGGAAACACCATTCAGTAATATCATGGCATGCACAGACTCCAATAACCCTAACCCTATGCTCCGCTTCTGCGATGGCAATTCAATCCACACGTATGTTTGGCCATGCGTGACCTGCCAAGGAAGCTAAGGGGATTATAGGCAGGGTCCTGTGATAATAATCTTCTCTACGGAGTAGTATTTCTAATACGAGAAATGACTAGTTATTAGTAAAGAGAGCAACAATAACCCGTCTTGGGAAAGATTTCACTCAAAATCTATGTAGATACGTCTCCAGCTCTACACACTCACTTTGACAACCATGACCTATTCGTAGCTCTGCCTGCTTCATCAGGTTCGGAGTGATACTTGAGCCCACTCTACCCGATGCCTCGTCAAATCACCAAAGTAGGATTAATCGGTGACGAAGCAACTGATTTGGCGCTCTCCGATAAACTAAAGCCGCCCGTTAAGCCATTGACGTCTTGACGCAAATCGCCCTCCGTACATACATGCATACGTATATCGGACAAATACCTCGCTCATCCTGGACCGCCACTGCTGTCGTTATTTAGTGCCGCCCGTAGTTAGCAGCATGCAAGGGTATGCACTACCCTCGCCTTGAGCTGACACGCATCCACAGGGGTCCTGTACGAGTGTTGTAGTTTATGGTGTGCTCGGGATACCATATTCGTCAACGGCCGGTATCTCAACTTGCATCTTCAACACGGTAGCCGAGACACTGCACCACCGCCCACTGCGGACAAGCAAGCGTTATCAATTGCATCACAGTTCATACAAACAAAGTATTGCTCTAATGTATTTTTTTTAAAAAAAAATCTATTTAGATGTGATGCTCATCAGGGTATAAAGGTGGTGCATCATATACCAAAAGCGACTAGAGGGTCTCTATCGAGGTCAAGTGTATTTCCTCCTTCGCAGCCAGTGCAAAGTAGAAAATGTCAAACAAGAAAAAAAGCAAAATCTTTCATGACAAACATCAATGCCGCCCAATGCCAAATATGTAATCCCAAACTCCAAACGATATGAAATTCATCTACGCCTCCACGACAATAGCCTCCGTCTCGGCATCCGCAACAGCCTTCTCGAGACCCTGCTTGAGCGAAGAAGCAAGCTTCTTACGCATCTCGCGCTGGATGCCGTGGTTCACGGCGTCCAGGACATTGTCCACAATGACGCGAGGCTTGTAGGCGGGCTCCGTGCCGTCCTGGTACACGCCCGTCTTGACGAGGATGCTGTACCAGTCGTTGTCGGCCTTCTTGTTGACGGCGTTGGTGCCGCGGATGTCGCTCTCGGGCGTGTCGCCGACAAAGTAGACGGTCTGGGGCGCGTCCGCGATGCCGTGCCGCGCGTGGCGCCACTGGCTCATGAGGCGCGAGGCGAACTCGAACGTGGGCACCTGCGGCTTGCCAAAGGCGTGCGTGTCGAGCCGGCCCCGGCCGCGGGTGAGGTCGTCAAAGGTGACCTCGAACATGCGGCGGAGGGCGCCCATGCCGAGGCGGACGTGCTCGTGGGCCGCGGACCAGACGACGTCGTTGTGCGAGAAGTAAAAGGGGGGCCCCTCGTCAAAGGTCTCGCTGCGCGTGCAGAGCCGCCCGCCCTTGGACATGGCGAGGTCCAGCATGATCTGGATGTCGCCGGCCCAGTCGCGGGAGTCGGCGAAGACGAAGACGGCGTCGATGGTGACGTCGTCAAAGTCGCGGGCGCGCGAGTTGGCGTGCTCCTCGGCGGTGAGCTTGCGGAAGGGCGTCGTGGCAGAGTCGTGCTTGATGATGTCGCCGGGGGTGACGACGTCCCGGAAGCCGTAGCCCTCGGCGACCTCGCGGCACTTTTCGCCCTCGCCGCCAATGACAAGGACGGTGCCGTACTTCTCGGCCATTTCTCTCATGGGGGTGTGTCCGCAAATGAACTGGCCGGGCTGGATGTCCTGCAGCAACTGGCGGGAGAGGTCGCCGCATCGCTCCTCTTCGGTTTTGCCGCCGCCGTTGGTTAGGAAGATGTGAGGTCTGCAGGCCACGTTAGCTAATCGTCATCTCGGGTGCACAACACCTAAAGTAAAAGTCACGATGGAACCCTGGTGGGTTGAGTGGACCAAAGTCCGAAATCCGGGGGTGGAACTGGCAGGGTTGTGAGGTGGCACTTACACATGGATGCCGAATTCGTTTTCTCCGTTGAGCACTCTCATGGCCTGAATTGCTTCGGGGATGGCCTTGCCGCCGCGGACAAGAACGCCATCGATATCAAAGGCAAAGACGAAGGAGTCGGCCACGGTGGAAGGAGAGAGTGGTGATGAGGGGGTATCAACGCTGGCGATGCTGGCGCGAGAGCTGTCTGCAGACAAGCCAGGGGAGCTAGGTGTGGTTGACGGCGCAGAAACTGCGTCGAGGTCCTTTTTAGCCTGTTCAACAGTCTGGTAGAACTTGGCCTCTTGCTGTTGCGTTGCCGCCATGATGGATGGTGAGCTGTGCTGTGGTGGTGCAGTAGCAGGCGTCGAGCCGTATAAGTGAATGATTTGATTCAACGAGCTCGTCCCTTCTTCTCGTGCCTTTATGACAAGAGAGTGGAGAAAGATCGGAATAGTACGAGGGTTTCTGGTCTGGAGATTGAGATCTACCGTCATGAACGGTGGGAGGATGTGAGTGCCTTTATAGTCTCTGGGGATTCTACTGTCCAGACTCCCCCCCGAGTTGTTTGTTTTCTGTCACATCTGGCATGTGTGTCTTGGCGTGGAGCCCACTCGCTACGAACGTTGTAGCTACTCAGCCCGAGTCATAATGGAGAGTGGAACTCATTCAGAAACATGCCCAAGGTCGTGGCGAAGGGAACCGGCGTCGAACTGAATATCCACATGGCGGTTCCACTTGATGAAAACTCTGGAGTGATGACATCCATGGTGACGGCACACAGGGACAGACCCCGTAGCAACAATACACGATGCCCCCTTTTTTTTTCCCTCGCTGATACGACGTCAACTTGGAGAGCCCACCGTATTAGACGTCATCAGTGCCTTCCACCGCCGAGTTTGCCTTGCGCTAGCAGGAAGAAGAGAAGAACCCGTCGTTTCTCAACGTCGCCTTCATTCCAACTGACGCTATCATGTTCGATACGCCGCAGTACGTGCCGAGTGTCGGCTTGCGGCAGGGGCGGTGAAAGATTTTCGGCCCCTGGCAGGGCACGATTCCAAGATGGTGTGAAGCAGCCGCCATGGCTTGGCTCCGGGCCGCAGTGCAATATCAAGAGCGGCCATCTCAAAAGTGACATGAGGACAGCATCACAGTTAGTGGCCCCGGGCCCGGAGTGACAGGAGAGGTACGTCCGAGGTCAACGACGACATGTGTTGCGAAACAGGCGGCTGCAGGGCCATGACGTTGTACCTCTCAGGTTTCTCAAACGGATGGAAAGCATCTCCACCGCCGATTGGAGTGTACATGCTGCATCGTAACCAACAAAAGCAACAAGCCGAGGTGACTTGGTAAACTTGCCCCCTTGGCGACGGTGCCTGTGGCACGAACCCTGTGCTTTCGAGCACTCGCGTCAGGCTGAGCCGGGTGAGGCTATCTTGGCCGGTATCTTTGCACCCTGCATGAACGAATTGGAAACACTGATAGGCAGTGGCTGATTTGCCCACTGGCTGAGACGTTTCGTGGATGGTCGAATCCTTGCGGGATGGCGGTTCCACCAGCGAATGCAAGAGGGAAGATTACGGTGGTGGATGTCGCTTGGGAAGAAGCCTGCGTCATGTACCCGTGGTACCTGTACTTGCTCGAGCGATCTGCTCGAACGCACAGGACACGGAGTACCAGGTACACGGTACGCGATACGATAAGCAGCACAGACGGCAAACACCACAATTCGCGCGTCTTTAGATCCAGGCGGAAGGAGCATGCAACCAGTTGCCACCAGTTCTGAAGCGCGGCCGTCTCTCACGGTCGGACCGGTCCACAGTGACGTCAGGGCCCATCCCCGTCCTCCGTCCGAAGGCCTATCAGCCGCCGCCGTCGGCTCCGCTCCAGCGGGTCCGCGCCCTGCTTCGATTGCGACCTTTGCCAACGCTGCCGTCGACTGCCAACCGCGTTGCTTTCCGTGACCAGGTAGGTTGCCGGTGCAGGTTCAAGGGCCAAAGGAAAAATACACGTGCGGCCGTCGTAAAGTAGTAGGCGTTAGTGCCCCCAAGTAAAGCGTGCAGTACAGTGCTGGAATTTCTGTTCAAACTCTTGTTCGCTCCCGAGTACGCCTCGGTGCGGCGCGGGCTGCATGCTGCCCACAATCTCTTGCCTGTACGCCTGGCCGGCCGCCGTGTTGCCTTGCACCGCCCGGGAACAGGCGGCACGGGCGTCGGCAGCCAGCATGACGGTGGCTACGGCGGTGCTGCGCCAAGGAGCCAAGGGGGAGGGAACCTTTTGCGCTGCGGGAATTCCTGTGCGTCGCCATGTACATGTACATGGCTGCTCCGTTCCCCGCCCACCCGCGTCCACATGCCTGGATCCCGCGACTTGACCACTTGGTGGCCATGAAACTCGGGGCCCGGGGGACTTCGCCTGGAGCTGATAAGGTACATACATACATGATGCCAAACGGTGGGAAAGGGTGTCTCGAGAAACCCAACATCTCCACAGCACCGTCACGATGCAGCCTTTGTAAAGTGTAAACGGCTGGCATGCCGGTTTGATGGTTTGGCAGGCCATGGGTTAGGCTTGTCGAGTTGATTCGCACGCAGCATCTTCACGGCCATGCGCGCAAAGACGCTCGATCAACACCGTGTCCTTTATGGTGCGTAGATGCCTGACACTCGAGCATGTTTATCATCAATTGATGTTTCTCTCATTTTGCGGCATTTCATGGACCCCTGCACACCCCCCCTCTACTCTACTCAGCCCTTGACCCGTTCAAGCACCTTCATCCAACATGTATCCTTGCCGCTTGTTATTCTCCGGGTCTGCCAGACGCGTGGGATGGCGTTTTCCCCTCGTTGCGGGTTACCTCTTCTGCATCATGGCTGACCTTGACTGGGGTCGCCCGGTTATTGTTTTACAGCCAGGGCGCGATCGTCGGCCTTGACTTTGGACACATTACAAACCATAGGCCATGGGATGATACAGAACGGACATGTTGCTTTTTCACTATTATTCCGCCCACGCCACGCATCACCAACAAATCGTCTACAGTACTCGTGACAGCATCAACTACTGCAGATTGACAAACAGGCCGCCATCCACCAGCAGCTGCGCACCGCTCACATAGCCGCTCAGCTCGTCGCACGCCAGAAACACCGCCGGGCCAGCCATGTCAGACGGCACGCCAGTGCGGCCCAGGGGAATCCTGCCCTCCATGTAGGCCCTCTTGGCGTCGTCGGCCAGGTCCTGCTCGTTGAGCCGCGTGCGGATCGTCCCCGGCAGCAGGGCGTTGCACCGGATGCCGTGGCGGCCCAGGGCCACGGCCGCGCTCTGCATCAAGCTGAGCACGCCGGCCTTTGTCGGCGTGTAGTGCGCCTGCCGCCCGCCGCCGACGAGCGCCGACACCGACGACACGCCGATGATGCTGCCCCCCGGGGGCTCCTGGCGCAGGGCCATCTGCCGCGCCGCCGCCTGCGTCACGTAGAAGGCGCCGTCGAGGTTGGTGCGCACCGTCGTCTCCAGCAGGTCCGGCGCCAGCGTGAGGAAGTCGGCAAACGTGCACACGCCCGCGTTGGAGACGCAGATGTCGAGCCGGCGCGCGGCGCCCGAGTGCGCGACCGCCGCGGCCACCAGCCCGGCCGCCGTCTCGGGGTCCCTGACGTCGCCGGCCTCGTGGGCCAGCCTGCCGACCGCACTGGACGGCGACGCCTGCGCGGAGAGCGAGAGCGCCTCGGCCTCGGCGACCAGCGAGTCGAGGTGCTGCTTGTCCTGGTCTAGGCCGAGGTGGTTGACGACCACGTTGGCGCCCTGGCGCAGGAACTCGAGGCAGATGGCGCGGCCGATGCCCGTCGTCCCGCCGGTGATGATGGCCGTCTTGCCGGCCAGCAGCCCCGTCAGCGGCATCGTGTAGATGGGCGCGCTTGTAATCAATCAATGACTTGACGACTCGTAGTTGGTCTCGGATTCGTCGAGATTTGGAAGATGAAAAAATTGCCAAATGTACGCCGCGGCCAGGGCCACGCTAGCACCTAGATGTAATCGAGGCCGTCTCGATCCACGCGCCGGAATCCTCGGGTAGGCGATACACGGGCGCCGATGGCGAGGGAGACGCGCGATGCGGCAGGCAGAGCGTGTGCGTCAGGGCAAGTGCTGGACGTCGACGGTGGGCTGCGATCAGCAAAGAGCCAAGGACGCTTGAATTTTTACAAATTCATCGAGCTGTCGACAGCTTCGTATTTCTGGGCAGTCTTCTGGCTATTTTTGCCTTTCCCCGCGACAAGCCCCCCTCATGGACTCTGGGTCTCGGCCCATTGACCAGCGAACAAACCGCCGGCCCGCCCGGCTCCGGCAGGCGACCAATGTAAAAAAAAAAAGAAACAGTCGATGGCTGCTCGTTCGCGCAGGGCTGCCACGATGCCCCGTCTGTGAACTGCAGCCCTGTGTCGTGGTCACGAGGCCCTGCGCGTCGCTCCATTTCTCACCGTTTCATCACACGTGGGCAAGACGTCAATGGGCAAGACGGTGGACTGGCGGGCGCAAACGGCCACCGTTCAACTCACGATGCTGCTCGGGGGAGTGCAGAGCGGGAGTGGGTACATACATACATATGTATATCTTTAATGGTCCACTCATCCCGGTATGCAGGGTTCAATGCTGCATGGCCCGGGACCGACGACCGGCATGGGATTCATTAGCCGAATTCAGCTGCGCAGTTGGTACGCGGGCGAGTTCACATCAATTGATCACCTTGTCTGTCAACGGTGGTAGGACAACGAACACTCGAGTGCCAAAGCTCCAGGCTTTTTCTTACATGTCGGTGCCGGATGAATGACCCAGGAAGCAAACCAGACTTCACCACGACGCATTATCCTCACACACCAGACTATCGTGTTGGCAGCACAGTACACGCAGACGGCTTGCGTTCGCGATACCGTGAGGTCATTATTCCGTGGCTATTAAAACCCTAATATTATTTGACTATAGTAGACCGTTAAAAAACCCTGTATTTTCTTTTTTCAGGGCAACGTTGAAGTGAAAAAATGCGCATGCTAATTGGCAAAATGCGTGCATCATCCTCATGCCACAGTACTAGATCAAGTCGTCAACTTGCCCATCCCGCCCACCAGCTCATCATCATCATGGTGACCGACCCCGTTCACTTTTGCGTGCTTCACATCCCCATCCTCCTTGGCAGCGCCATTCATTTCTGGCGCCGGCATGGCCACGGGCGCCGGGGCAAGCAAGTTCCTCGCCGGGATCAATTTTGCCCTCGCCGCCGGGTTAATGGTCAGTCCAAAGCCAGGCTTGTCCAGGTCCGCCGCCGTCAGGTACCCCC